TTTTACTGTATCTTATTTGTGTGCTTTCATTTTTATATTTCTGTATTATTTATCATGTCTGCATGTTATTTCGTCTCCAAGTTACCATCACTGAAAGAAATGGATAGAAGCCTCCTTACCTACATAAGGGAATAGAAACAAGCCACCGATCTTAAATGTAATTCTTTCTCAAGTACACTTCTTCAGATCTGAGCCAGCAAACATTTTTCTGTATGTTGGAAGAATCAGCTTTGGCAATCTTAATCATCTATTTTGCTGAGTGCTGTGAATATGACCCTAAACAATTAAGGACCTGAAAGATTACTGTAACCTTGGAAGTCAAATCCAAATTTGTAGCACAGTTCTTTTAATTCCCTCAACCATTCATCGTATGTTTAGCCTCCAGACTACTTATCATTTTTGCTCTTTGCTTTCTTTTCTTTTTCTTTCTTTCTTTCTTTCTTTCTTTCTTTCTTTCTTTCTTTCTTTCTTTCTTTCTTTCTTTCTTTCTTTCTTTCTTTCTTCAGAGCCTTTTTTGTATTGTAATAGCCAGATTTGGACACAGTGTTCCATATGTGCCTTCACTGGTGCAGTATAAAGCAGGACTATAACTTCTTGTGATCTTGATGCTATCCTAGGACTGCATTGGCTTTTTGGGTAGCTGCAGCACACTGCTGACTCATGCTTAAGTGGTGGTCCACCCTCTCACAGTTACTATTTTGAGTCAGGTTCTGCCTATTCTGCATCTGTACATTAGGTTTTTCTTGTCTAAGTGTAATAATGCCTTACTTTTCTCACAACTGAACTGCGTTTTGTTGGATAGGGCCTAGTGTTGAAATCTGTCAAGTCCCTCTGTATCCTGAGTATGTATCTTCTAAACTGTGGGTTATTCCACGCAGCTTGGTGTCATTTGCAAATTTCATGAGCTCCCCTCATCTAGATGATTTATGAAGTACTGGGCCCTAGACAGAGCCTTGAATATCCCACTGTCTGCTTCCCTTCATGTAGATGTAGTTCCATTAACTCCCACCGAGTTCACTTGGTCAGCCAACTGTGAAGCCATCTGATAGTGGTGCAGTCTATCCCACATTGTTCTGTTTTTCCAAAAAGTAGGCTGTGATTGACTTGTCAAATACCTTACTGAAGTCCAAGTAAACTATATCCACAGTATTTCCTTGACCCACTAATTTACTTTATCAAAGAAGGCAACAGGTCTTGTCTGGCATGATTTGTTCTTAACAAGCCCAGGTTGGCTTCTAGGGATCACTTTATTCATTTCTAGGTATTCAGAAATCTGCAGCTTGATCATCTTTTCAAGGAAGAAATTGTCATTTAAACAATAAAATCCTTATTTCGGGAATTATGCAAACTTAAGGCCATCCCTCCACATTAAAAATATATCCTTACGCTTTATTGTTCATTTCTATTGAAAAGTTTTTATTTTATAAAGCAGCAATTATTGATTTATTTGTGGTAGGTGTTGCACTAGAAAATTTCCAAGACCCCCTCCATGTGTGTGTGTGTGTGTGTGTGTGTGTGTGTGAATGGTATTCAGCTTTGTTTGGGTATTTTCCCACATCATTATAGTTGTGCTTTTAAAGTTGTAGTGACGTTTCGGCAGAATCTCATCTGCCATCATCATGGTTTCTGTATAGTGTTCGCCTGTGAGTCAGACTTTCACAGCCGTTTCTATTTTAAATTTGGTGCTAGACTACTCCTGTGCCAGAATGGTTTTTTCTTTATCCTGATTGGTTGGGAGTCTTGGTCTGTGTTTATTGGTCTTGGAGTTTGCTGTGTTCTGCTTGATTGGTGTTTCTAATATCTTCTGTCTGTTTTGTGCCTTTTTTTGTCTTGATTGGCTGGCAACATTGTGTTCCTGTATTGGAGGCTTTTAGTGCAGCTTGGCTCCGGGTAAATGGACGGCTAACATTTGTTAGGAAGCTAGGTTTCATCTGGGTGCCTGGTTGGGGTGTGTTTGAGCTGGAGGTATCAGAGGGAGTCTGTTTGTGCCCAGGTGTTTGCCTGGCTTGTGTTGTGGATATTTTTTTTGTTTGAGAGTGTAGGCTTCCAGATAATTGACAGTCTGGTGGAGTCATCTCCTCTATTCATGCTTTCAGGACTTTTTTCAATCTCTATGGCTTCTCTGATAATTATACAGCTGGGGTTTGATTTTTAAATATATCCATTTAGAAAAATATTTGAGACAATTTGCAATGTCATCTAGATTAGAAGGTATTTCTAACTTTTACCACAGCAGGACTAAATGGGAACATGTAGAATTGCTACATAAGCTTGGATGTATTTCCCAAATCGGCTTAATAAAAAAGGAGACATTACCTTAAAACAAGATCCACCCTACTGGTTCAATAATTCTAGAATGAAGATGCATATAAGACAGTACCAATGTCTATAATATCTACATTCACTGTGTTTCATTTGTTAAAAACTGCTTGATATTGAGACCAATAAAAACCATGCAATCCCACTTAGTATATTTAAAAGCCATACATCATTTGAATAGGTTTCAACAAATTGTGAGGCAATGTAATTATCAAATTATAAGACCAACATCAGAATGGTAAGAATAAGCATCGAAATTCTAACACTGAGATGCCCAGAATACATTAGCTATTTATAAAGTTAGTTATTGTTGGCTCTTTGTTTAAACTAGCTCCTTGGCACTTAATAAAGCATCCACATTAGATGTGTGGCATATTCTAGAATAGCCACACATCGAAAGCATATTCTAGAATTAGAAATAGCTTCTTTCTATCAAATTTGTGCTTTGCTTCAAAAGTCTAACTGAAGAACCTGGATGCCTCCATCCATATATGACTCCACCTCAAGAAGCCTGAGGTGGAGTCATATACTTTGCTAATTTGTTGTTTGCTTAGTGACCTACAAGCAAAAAGGAAAAATATATTTTGAAATTATTCTCAGAACACAAAATTCTGGCTTCATATTGCAGCTACGCTATGGGTTCTTTTGCTTCCAACTTCACTAATAATAACTGGGTTAATGCAGGGGTGGAGTGCAAAACCTTTCCTGCATAAAGAAGGTACACTTAAGTCTTTAAGTGGCATGAGGGTCCCCAGCCAAAAGGGTGGAATCGGGGGGGGGGGGGAAACCACCTAAGTTTGAATAATAATAAATGCATTCAATACATTTTTCTGTCACTTTGAAAATGTGCTGACAAACTTTTGATCTTTTTCACATTATGCAGCCCCGTGCTAAGCTGCAAACCAACCACATATATATGTCTGTGCAATATGTGAAATCCATCAGTCTCCATTAAACAAGGTCATTGCAAGAATGTTCATGTCATCTCAAAAGTCTGTCCAGCCAAAAAGCTCTTTTGTATCCACTTACAAAGGAAAATGTTTTTAATACGAGACAGCTGGACTCATTGAACTTTACAGGACTGTGACAAAACCAGATCTGAGAGCAAGCCAAGACCAGTGAGACAGCAGAGGTGGACTTGCACTGACACACTCTGTGAACTTTGGCGCAGGCTTGAACTGAAAGTCCTACCCTGCCTGTCTGCCAGCCTGCCTCTCAGAACCGGCTTCTCTACCCTCAAAGACGTCAGCAATTGTCCCCACCCAGGTCGGTCCCTTTACAGAATGAGAAGATGCCTTGGGCCAGTGTCATCTGGCATGGCTGTGCTTTCTTTATACTCCTCCAAGCAGAGTCAAGTCTGGATGGATGACTCATCCATCTCTCATGCATTTCTGATAAATATTGCCTCAAGAACCATTATTCCGCAACAAGAGTTAACATGCCTGTATTTCAGAGGAACTGAAATCAAGAACCCACCTAACTTGTACTCATTTACTGGCTGAAGGGATTGCCTGGCTGTCATTTTGACATCAGCAGGCTTACCTATAAAGACCGCTCTCTGCTCACGAAGTTGGCTCTTTCTCAAAACATAAATTTTAAACGTTGATGAATAATATTTTTTCCACTAGTCAGCTTGCAATGCTTTTACCTTAAATTCACTTTTTAAAAGGAAGAATTGTAACATAGTTCCTAACGCGTTTTGTTTCTTTCTGTATACTGAAGCAATAGAAAGCGGGGAAATGAAAGAAAGAACCCTCTTCCAGACAACTTTGCACCTGGCATAATAGCCACCTTGGTGTCCTGGTGAAGAGGCTGAGCTAGAAGCAGGAGGAGGTGGGTTCTAGCCCTCCCTTGGGAAGCTGGCTGGGTGTGCAGGTAAACGTACAGGTAGTCCTCAACTTACAACAGTTCCTTTAGCAGCTGTTCGAAGTTACAATGGCACTGGGAAAAAAGCGACCCAGGACCGTTTTTCACACCCACGACAGATTGGCCACGTCACCAAAATTCAGATTACTGACTGCTGACTCATTTATGATGGTTGCAATTTCTTGGGGTTACGTGATCCTCTTGCGAGACCTCCTGACAGGCGAAACCAATGGGGACGTCAGGCTCACTTAACAACCATCTTGCTGGCTTAACTGCAGGGGTTCACTTGAGGAATGCGGCAAAACTCTCTTAACCACCGTCCCATTTAGCAACAGAAAATTGGGGCTCAATTGCGGTCGTAGGTTGAGGACCACCCGTACTTATCAGAGATGCGTTCACTGCCTTGAGTTGACCTATATAATACACACAGATGCTAAGATAAGAAAGATAGATAGGTAGATAGATAGGTAGGTAGGTAGGTAGATAAGATTGACAGGTGGGTGGATGGCTAACTGGATGGCGAGGGGGAGAGGCCGGTCTTTTCCCCAGAGGGAGGGGGCTCATTCAACCTTCCAGCCCCTCCTTAGTCGCCCCCCCCGCCCCCCCCCCCGCCCACTGCAGATGACGATGAAGCCCAGAGCGCGGCCGGCCCTCCGGCTCCCCTCCCGCTTGCTGGCTCGGCCGCGCGGCGACGCCCATCGTGCCCACGCGGGGCTGCAGTCCCGGTTTCCAGAAGCCACGCGGGCGAGGCTGCCGGGATCGGCCGCGGCGCTCTGCACGCGCTCAGAGGGCGGCCGCCGCCGCCGCGCGCTTACTTGTCGCGGATGATAGTCTGCAGCTCCCGGATCTGGTCGTTCATGGGCAGCAGTTTCAGCTGGGCCGACCCCGACCCCCGCCACTCGTGAGGCGTCGTCGTCGTGGCCGCCTCGGCGTCCCCCTCGCCGCCGCCGCCGCCGCCGCCACCGCCGGCGCAGCAGCCGTTCCCGCCGGCGCAGTAGCATCTGCTGCCCTCGGCGCTGCCGCTGCCGCTGCCGCTGCTATCCGGGCTCGGACTGTCGCCGCTGCCCGGGCCGGGCTCGGCGAAGCGCAGCTGTCGCTGCCCGCCCTCGCCGCTCGCCGGCATCCCGGGTTCTGCTGCCGGAACCCCCACCGGGCCCACCACGCGCCGGTCGCGGCAAGGCATCGCCTCCATGCGCCGCCGAAGCAGCCACGGCGCCCCACCACGCGCTCCGCTTTACCTCAGCCGCGGGCCCGCGGGCCGGGCTGTGACGCGGCCGGGATCGGGCGCTGCCATTGGTCGCCGCGACAGCCACTCGCCGCCGCCCCGCCACTCTGCGTTCGGAGGAGGGGCCGGGGCCCGCCCCCCTAGCGCGCGCGCGCGGCCTCTAGCCCCGCCTCTTTCTGGCCCAGGCGGGAGCTGCACATCCCAACTGAGGAGGCCCGCTTACTCGCGAGGTGGGGCCGTGGGTCGGGCGGCTGCTGGGCCCTCGTGGGCCTCCCCGGAGTCCGTCCATTGGCTGCTGTGTCTCCCTGAGTGGGAAGAGAGAGAGAGAGAGTTTGCGCCGGCGGAAAGTGCCCATCCTCTGCTCGTTAAACTACATTTCCCAGAGTCCTCCGCGCGAAACCAGGACTCTTAAAGGGGCGGCTTATATTATTATTATTATTATGACTATTATTCTGCGTGGGAAAATTGGCCTCTTTGGTTCTGTTGCCCCCTTTTCTCATTGCAGGCAGGCCGGGCTGCCTCGGCTGGGGTTGTGCGTAAGCCGCAAGGGAGCGTCTTCCGGCAAAGAAGCCGCCGATCCTGCTTGCAAGCCGCCAAGGGCTGCATTTGCACAGGGGACTAAAAATGGAACGTTTTTCTGAATGGCGAAATCCCCTTCTATTTCAGATCTCATAAGGCAAGAGCTACTTGGATCCTGCCTTTGAAATCGCATGCACAAGTAGCCCTCGACTTATTGCCATCATAGGGAGCTGCAGAATTCCCTTGGGGAGCAGGGCGGGGTTGTTGGGTTTTTTTGCTGCAATTCAGAGCAAATCCCTGCCGTTAAGGGAGTTCGTGCCCTTGTTGGAGCGAATCCAAATTCCTCCGTTGAGTTTCTGAAGCCGGCTTGGGAAAGTCACAAATGGCAATCAACAACAAGGAAGCTGCAATACATGGCTGGTTGCCAAGTGCTTGAATTTTGATCACCTAACTGCAAAGGCATTGCAAAGTAAGTTACTTTTTGTCAGTGCTGTTGTAACTTTGAAAGGCCACTAAATGAATGGTTGCAAGCTGAGGATTACTTGTAGCAGCTGTCTGTATTTAGTAAATCAGAGGTGTCCAAACTTGGCAACTTTAAGACTTGTGGACTTCAACTCCCAGAATTCCCCAGCCAGCAAAGCTGGGAGTTGAAGTCCACAAGTCTTAAAGTTGCCAAGGTTGGAGACCCCTGCCTTACACTATTTCGGACAAGTGGCTGTCCAATCTCTTCTTAAAATCTTCCATTGTTGGCACACTCATAATTTCTGGAAGCAAGCCATTCCACTGTTTAATTGTTTTCACTGTCAAAAAATTTCTCCTTAGTTCTAGGTTGGCTCTCTCCTTGATCAGTTTCTATCCATTGCTTCTTATCCTGCCTTCTGGTGCTTTGGAAAATAGCACCCCCCGCCTCATTTTTGTGGCAGCCCTTCAAATATTGGAAGACTGCTATCATGTCATCTCTAGTTCTTCTTTTCATTAGACTAGACCAACTGTCTTCAAATTTGGCAAGTTTAAGACTTATGGACTGTCATACCCCTGGTGGAGTCTGACTCTGAGGAAGAGGAGGAACAGCCAACAGGGAGTGGGAATGTGGCTCCAGGGGTGGTGGAGGAGGCTGGGGAAGGGCAGAGGCTGCCTGAGCAATCAGGAGGATCCAGGCCCATCCCCTCTCCATCCTAGGTCACGCAGGAAGGAGAGGATCAGGGAGAGATGTGGTCTACTTGAGAGGAGATTACCATGATCCTCCTCATGGCTTGCAAGTGGGAGCTATGTGTTTGCAACTGCGCAGTAAGAATTGCTGAAGTCAATTAGTGTTCACCTTGAAAGAGGCTTATCTCTGCTGGCGTTCTTCCCATGGACTTTTCTGGGTTATTTTCCTAGAGTTTATAATTAGTTATCTTGCCTTGCTTCAGAACTCTCATCAATGCAGTTTGGTTTTCATTTTCTGTTTGCCTCCTTATTTACTTTTGTGACTTTAAACTGTGCCTAATAAAACAGTGAAGTTGAAGGCTTTACCAGACTTTAATATATGTTTTGGGTTTGGGGTTATTTTGAGAGACTATGGGTCATCACATGGACTTCAACTCCCAGAATTCCTGAGCTAACATGGTTGGAGGAAGAATTCTGGGAATTGAAGTCTGTAAGTCTTAAAGCTGTCAAGTTTGAAGACCCCTGGACTAGGCATACCCAATTCCTGCAATTGTTCTTCATATTTTAGTCGTGTGATGAGAAAATGTGGATCCTTGAGAGCCTGCCTGCATTTACAACTGCAGGGTGTCTTTGACCCTGCCCGTCTCTCTGTCCTTGCGGATGCTCTGCGCTCTGCTGCCCTGTGCTACTCCTTCTGCCCTGCATCCCTGCCACACCAAGCTGACCTTAGCTGTCTTCTTCCCCTACTGACAAGACACATCTGGCCTGAGTTTTGCAAAGTAGCTGCTGGCTGTGCGGCATCCTGAATCTTTTCTCAGGAAAGGCCAGGTGTGCCTTGTCAGCAGCAACAGAAAACAGTGAAAGTTAGCCAATAGAGCAGAAATGGGCGTGGAGGGAAGATAAGTAGATGGGGGAGTTGAAGCAGAAATGAGTGCAGCAGGACATAGAGACTAATGACAATGCAGAGTTATTCTAATTATTGCAAGTGGGACAACAAAAGTACCGGTATTGCCATTAAGTGGTACAGTCATGAGATATTTTCCTTATTAACCATTTCCCTTAGTATTGGAAATTCCAATCCCAATTAGGGTTGGTAATCAAGGACCACCTCGGCTTTCAGTTCTTCCTCTCCTCCTGTTTCTTATTCTAGCTCTTCTGCTTTTAAAGGTGCACATCAGGCCAAAAAATAAGCAAAAGATTCATCAGGATGAATGTCTGCAGAGTCATGACTGCAAGAAAGGGTTTTTATCATTGAATTTATTCCAGTCTTCAAAACCTTTGCTGTTTCCTCCACCCTAAATTCCTGGTATTTATATGGAAACCCCACTCCCATCTTTTAAGTCTTATTTATAAGTTATTGTACATAAAACTGCAACATTGTGCATTTAACTCTAAGAATAAAAAAATGTATCCAGGTGTCTGATCAATAGAATAACCATTTATATTAAATTTAAAGTTATATTTAATTCATACCTCTTGATTTTAAAAGTAATTTTTATATCCATTTCAGGGGTGCCAAACTGGCAGCCTGTGGGCCGGATGCATCATGCGCAGGCCACGCCCGCCCCAGCTCCGCAAAGGGGAAAAATGTCGCAATATATCACGTGATAACAACATGACGCTGTGGGTTTGACAACCATGATTGATCTCAGAGTCCATTGCAAGCACAATCAAAACAGGGGACAGTCAATTAATTTTAGTACCGGTATTTTATTACTGCAGATCCACAGCGTAGCTTTCTCTTGGTCACTCCAAGGCTCTTGTTCCTTTTTTGCAGTCACGAGTGATAAAGTATTTTATCTAAAAGATTTTGGTTGGACAGCAGATAAATTAACTGGGGAATTCTGCAAAAGTTTAGCAATCAATTATTCAATTACATGAATGTTGTTGAAATATATCATGTAGAATGCATTTGCAGATATCCTTATGATTATGTCAGTATCTAAAATCAGAGAAGTAATTGTCAATCATACCCCAGTATTCTTCATTTTGGCGAGATTCTACATACCTTCCGCTGTGTGTGTTGTGTAACACATAGGATTCCCAAATTCTTCCTGATGATTGACAGATGGTGGTAACTTTTTTTAGGGATATTTCCAATTCACATAACCATGCCAACAATCTGTTACAATTATACAGCCAGGTAAACAGCCGATATAATTACATTTGCCAGTGTTGATGCAGATTAATTGTCAACAGCAGGTATGAAGCAGTGTCCAACAATCCTGTTTCCTACACAATCTTCCCACGTTGCATTTTTGTTGAATGAGCAGGCTCTCATCAGTTTCAACTGTGCTGGATCCACCAATGGCATCCTGGTTATTGGGGAATGATTACACACAAATCTCACACATGAAGTGATTCTGACCAGCTATTGCTTACTTTGATTCTATATCTAGTTCTGACAGAAAGGGACACTTGTAAACTTTCGACCAGCAGGATATGGAAAAACTACAATGCAGTAAGGCAGATGGGTGTGCTCCAGCCACATACTAATTCCAAGGGAATAATAATATTCCAAGTGATATATTACCGATACAGTAAATGAATATTATCATTTTCTAATATTTTGATAGATGTATGGGTATAAGTGAAGGGAATTTCTTGCAGACTTCAGGTGGCACCTCCAAGGATCTGGCTTGCCCTATAACAGGGCTCTTCAAATTTGACAGCTTTAAGGCTTGTGGACTTCAACTCCCAGAATTCCTCCTCCAGTCATGTTAGCTCAGGAATTCTGGGAGTTGAAGTCCACAAGTCTTAAAGCTGCCAAGTTTGACTACCCTTGTCTTATAACATTAGGATCTTTTCCAGGCCTTTAGCACACAGACTCAATGCATGGAGTACAGGTAGTCCTCAACTTATGACCACAATTGAGCCCAAAAGTTCTGTTGCTAAGTGACACATTTGTTAAGTGAGTTTTGTCCCATTTTACAACCTTGCTTGCCACAATTGTTAAGTGAATCACTGCAGTTGCTAAGTTAGTAACATGGATGTTAAGTGAACCCAGCTTCCCCATTGAGTTTGCTTGTCAGAAGGTTGCAAAATGGGGTAGCATGACACTGCAATCATAAAGATGAATCAGTTGCCAAGGCACTGAATTTGAATCACATGACCGTGGGGAAGCTGCAATGGAATGGTCATAAGTCAGTGCCACTATAACTTTGAACAGTCTCTAAATGAACCATTGTAAATTGAGGACTAACTGTATTCTGTGATTCTGCAGGAAGAATTGTAGCTGACTTATGCAAAGTGCAACATCTATCCTGCAGTATGCTGGCAGAAATTAGCTAGAACAGAGACTTCCAATCATGGCAACTTTAAACCTGGAGGACTTCAACTCCCAGAATTC